CTAATTTTTGATTTATTGTGGAGATGAGGTCTCGCCAAGTTGCCCAGGTGGGTCTTGAACTGGCGGACTCAGGCAATCCACTCACCTCAGCCTCCCAAAGTGCAAGATTACAGGCTGAGCCACCAAGCCCGGCTCTAATTTTTTGATTTATTGTAGAGACGAGGTCTCGCCAAGTTGCCCAGGCTGATCTCAAACCCCTGGGCTCAGGTAACCCTCTCACCTCTGACTCCCAAAGTGCTGGGATTACAGGCATCAGCCACAGGAGCCCTGAGGCCCTTTTTATAGGCACTATGATATGAACTCCAATATTTACAAGATGGGGATCAAATAGCCCTCAGCCTGGGGTTTGAGTCATATCAGTCTCCATTTTCAAGACTATGTCTTTAGTCGCTCCCCAAGAAGCTGTGCCACTTGTTCAAATTCAACGTTTTTACTGCTTCCTTTTCCTCTGAATGTTCTTAGACCCTGGAGCTAGATCACCTCGGGTTGAGTCCTGGCTCTGCCAATTATTAGCTGTGCGACCTTGGAAAGACATTTTACCTCTCTCTGCCTCAGCTTTTTTTTTTTTAATCCATAAAGCGGCAGTAACAAAAATACCCACACACAGAGCTGGTCTGCAGATTAAATGAGAAAAGGAATGTAAAGCCCTTTAGCGCAGTGTCTCACCAAGAGTAAGTGTGGTGTAGAGTTTTACTGTGACTTTTCTTTTTCTGAGTCGGAGTCTCACTCTGTTGCCCAGGCTGGAACGGAGTGGCACACTCATGGCCACCGCAGCCTCGACCTGCTGGACTCAGGCCATCCTTCCACCTCAGCCTTCCAAGTAGCTGGAAGTACAGGTGCACACTACCACGCCCAGCTTATTTTTTTTTAATTTATTGTAGTGTCGAGGTCTCGTCAAGTTGCCCAGGGTGGTCTCGAACCCCCCGGACTCAGGCAATCTCGTGCCTTGGCCTCCCAAAGTGGGATTACAGGCTGAGCCACCGCGCCCGGCCTGCTATGATTTCTATTGCTGTCACCATTACTGTTGCATGTATGAGAACTACAACTTGCAGAGAGATTCACGAGGCATCTCATTGGAGGCTACGTCAGACTCCGGGTCACCACTTCCAAAGTCATTCTAATGACCCATTTCTTTCCCCCGTCTCTTAAGAATGGCAAATGCTCCCTCTGCTGGACACCTCAAGCTTGGGCTGAGCCCCAGAAAGGCAGCGTCAATTTCCTCCAAGGTGTGGATGTCGTGAATTCGGTTGATGGCCCCTTAAGAGGCGGTAGCTAGGTCCCGGTTACCATGGAGACAGCTGGACACAGACCGGGCTGTGGCAGACGGCATGTCCTCCCAAACTCACTCCTTAGGTGGGAAGGGAGCTGCTGGGCCGGAAAGGGGGAAACCTGTTCCCCTTCACAATCCACCCTCAGGGTGGTCTAGGACGAATATGCTCTTGAAGCCGGGGGCCAGGACTGGGGTACTCCCACCCCACCCCTGCCCTTCTCCCCAGGGCCCTCCATCTTAGCCTCGGCTCCCTCTCTAGGCTCCGCAGCCGAGGACCACCTGCCCTCAGGCCCGGAGCATCCACCACTCCCAGAGGCCAATGCTGAAGCCATCGACTTCCTCAGCTCCCTCCGTGAGCCCAGACCGTGGGGGTCGGGGGTGGGGGAGGGATGCCAGTCGAGGGAGGAGGGAAGAGAGAAGGCTCAGACGGCCGGCATCTGGCTCCCTGCCTTGATTCCCCTGGGACTCAGAAAAGTTGACATTGTTGACATTCTTCAAGGGAGGACCCCAGGGACATGGGGAGGGGGAATCTTCACCCGGGGGCTCCTGCCAACGCCCGTGGAGGCGAGATGGATGCCAGCCGGAAGGGGTGTGGGTTGAGGAGGGTGGAGGTGGAGTCTTTGAGGGCACTGGTGGGAGGGGGTCAGAGGATTAGCAGAGGGTTTATCTGTTCCCACGGTCCCTCGCCCTCAGGGCAGGAGGAGCTGCAGATGTTGTGCTTCTCGGAGACTTTGGCCACTGTCTCAGACACAGGGGAGCCTCAGGGAGAGCTGACCGTTGATGTGCAGGAAGGGAAATACAAAGACGAGCTCGGCGTCGTGTCATACTGCCTCCTCGTGCACGCCTTCAGTCGTGGCTTTTTGGACAAAATACTCTGTGGAAACTCCCTCCTGGGTAGAGCTCCTGCTGCCTGACATCTGTCACCCCTCTCCTTCCTCCGACCTCCTCCCCAGCATTCCCAGGATATTTATTCAGTACCAGCCCCTTTAGGTGACGGGATGGTGATTCACGCCACAGGCTCAGGACAAGAGCAACACTGACGCATCCTGTAGTTTTTCTGAGATCACATTACACCTAGTCCTCCAACCTGAGCCACCACCATCCCTTCCTTCGATCAACCACGCGTGTGGCCTGTGACGTCAGTCTCTGCCTCCTCACCCCCCCAGGCTCTCTCTCAGAACACTTGGAGCTCATGGAACAGCACAGTCATGAGTTCATCAAGGTACCTCCCAGAGCCCTGGCCTTGACCCCAATCCAGGGTGAAAGAATGGAGACCCTGGGGGGGAGGGTGGGGCCCCAGCAGAATGTCACCCCAACTTGTCTCCCCAGTTACCCTGCCAACCCCACCACACACAACTTGAAAACAAGCCCATCTGGGATCCTGGAGGTCAGCAGCAGGTTGCTGCTGATAAGTTCTCCCGATGCCCATACCCTCCTCCAGCCTGAGAGCCCAGCACTCCCTGAGGGCCATCGCCACCTGGCCTCCAAGTCCTCTAGCTCTGTACCCCTCACATCCAACCCCAGCCCCTACATTAACTTCTGGAATGTGACCATGACCTGTTTACACATCGGAAACTACTCGTATCTAAGAACCTTCCCACAGAAACCATCCCCGTCTTTTAGAACCAGTGTTCTGAAGCTCATTGCCTTTGAACTTCATATCTGCCCAATGACACGACTGCTATTCTTGAGCTTTACCATGTATGGAAGGGGTTTGGGAGTTTGTTGCGGCTGCTGTTTTTTAAGTCAAAATCTTTAAGTCACAATTTTCTCGTTTGTAAAGAATAATGGACTGGGCTCGGTGGCTCAGCCTGTAATCCCAGCACTTTGGGAGGCCGAGGCGAGTGGATTGCCTGAGCCTGCAGGTTCGAGACCCGCCCGGGGAATTTGGTGAGACCTCATCTCTACAATAAATAAAAAATTAGCCGGGTAGTAGTGCGCGCCTATAGTTCCGGCTACTTGGAAGACTGAGGTGGAAGGATCGCCTGAGCCCAGCAGGTCGACGCTGGGTTGGCCATGAGCGTGCCTGGGCGACGGAGTGAGACTCCAACTCAAAAAAAAAAAAAAAAATAATGGACAGATGACCTCTGGGGGGACCCAGAGAATCCCTGATCCTTCCCTGTTTCCCTGTGTGCTCTGACCCTTAGTTTCTCATCCTCCCCATGAAGCGGACGATGAGTTTGATGAAGCAGGATGACCAGCTGGCCATAACCAGAAGTATCAAGGAGGGTGAGGTAGGGACCACCGCCAGGTAGGTGCTGCATTCCAGATTCTCTTCAGAACCGTACACAGGGACAAGGTTGTCTCGGCCAGGAACCTGGACTGAGGACTCATTAAGAGCCATGTGCCCAACACCCAGCTTGCCCACCTCCTGCCCTTCCCTGGCTCCAGGTCCCTGACCCAGATCTGTTCTGAACAGGAAATCAAGACTGGTGTGACTTTCTTCCCCTGGTACTCAACTGAGGGCTTCATATCTGAGGCTGCCAACCTGGTGCTGCTGAGGGTGATGGCCCGGCGGCGAATGGTGCCCCACAATGCCCGCTTCCTGGCCTTAGACACCGAGGGCAAACTCTGCTATTCCACCTACGTGAGGGGTCTTCCTGGGGAGGGGACTTGGCCTGGGGGCAAACTAGAAAGGGGCATGGAGGGCGCTGAGAAAGGAGAGAAGATGCTGTGGTGTGGAAGAGAGAGTTGGGGTGGGGATAAAACGGGGGTGGGGTGGGAGTGAGGCTCCCCAGGGCACGAGAAGGAAGAACCACCTTTGTTAGAGAGATGAAGTGTGGGCCAGGTGGTGTGAGTGAGAGGGATGGAGAGGCGGAAACAGTTCAGGGAAGCGACCTTCTCTGCATGAAAGTCAGTCCAGGAAAAATAAACATAGTGCAGTGCTGCTTGAAAAGATACATCTTTTTTTTTTTTTTTTTGAGTCAGAGTCTCACTCCATTGCCCAGGCTGAAGTGCAGTGGCATGCTCTTGGCCACCGCAGCCTTGACCTGCGGGGCTCAGGCAATTCTTCCGCCTCAGCCTTCCAAGTAGCTGGAACTACAGGTGTGTGCCACCATGCCTGGGTAATTTTTTGATTCATCGTGGAGATAAATGAAAGTCTCGTCAAGTTGCCCAGGCTGGTCTCAAACCCCTGAGCTCAGGCAATCCTCTTGCCTCCACCTCCCAAAGTGCTGGCATTACAGGCGTGAGCCACCATGCCCAACTGATACATCATTTTTTTAACTTCAGGAAATGCAACATCTCCAGCTACAATTTTTTTTTTCCTTTTTCTTTTTTTTTTGAGTCAGAGTCTCTGTCACCCAGGCTGGAGTGCAGTGGCATGCTCACAACCACTGCAGCCTCAACCTGCTGGGTTCAGGTGATCCTTCTGCCTCAGCTTTCAAAGTAGCTGGAACTACAGGTGTGCACCACCACATCCGGCTAATTTTTTGATTTATTGTAGAGAGGAGATCTCGTCAAGTTGCCCAGGTTGGTCTTGAGCCCTTGGGTTCTCACCTTAGCCTCCCAAAGGGCTGGGATTACAGGTGTGAGCACCCGGCTTTCCAACTACATTTTCATATTCTTGTATTATTTCTCAACCCTGAAGCTTGTTCCCTTTTTTTTTCTTTTATTTTGGCTAAAATTTCATAATCAAAATGCCTAGGACTTCTTGAAATATGTGATTTTAAAGCTGTGGCTTTGAACACCTGCGATTTTGAATAAGACAGTTTAGGGGCTAATTTGTCCTTCTTGGATCAATTTTGTAAATTACATTCCAGGCTGTTAATCACAAACAAAACATGCAGTGATATGTTTGACGCAAACAAGCACATGACACATCCCCACGTTTTCTTTGAAACACATGTTTAATATGAGCACTTTGCTCTCCGTGGCCACAGTCATATCAGGGTTTAAGTTTTCATTACAATAGGGACAGCCTGCCAGCAGCACAGGCCTGAAGTGGCCACAGATCTCAGTCGGGTCTCACGCCTCAGAGCCTGGCTCTACCCCTCAACCACTGGCCTCAGCAGCCCATCTTCCTATCCTCTCACACATCCCCTCCATACTGCTCCTCATCCCTGTAACAGAATCTGCCAACTAGAAGCGCTTGGTCAGCGCGATGGCTTGGGAGGGGCTGAGGCAGAGCCAACTTGGACCTGGCTGTTTATGAGGGAAGCCCCAATTTAGCTTGGCGATGCAGCACAAATATGGCACCTGAGGGTCTGGACAGCCAAGGGCTGCTTATCCCTGGTCAACAAGGGATGAAGGTGTGAGATGGAGGAAGTGCCAAGGAAAGACGGCGGGGGAGACCTTGGTGGGCATCCACCTCACCTTCCACTCCCCGTTTTGGCTGTTGCCAGCAAGCCCTGGGCTTCCAGACGATCCAGGTGGGCCACCAGCAGGTGGAAGTGTTCATCGTGGAGCAGACTGTACACTCAGAGGAGGGGATCCCCATGTCCTGCCAGTACTACCTGCTCTCTGATGGGTGAGCTGCTGAAGGAGGGGCCAAGGGGACGTCTTCAGTGACGGAGGTGGGATGGGGCAAAGGGAGGACTAGCTGTTTCTAGGGACACCACCAGGAAGAGGTGCCATTGAGATCTGAGTGTCCCTTGCTTTATCCACATCCTTCTTTCTTCTTATTTGCCCATTCTCTTAGTCCTCACGATGCCCCCCAAACCTTTCCACCAAAGAGCCCTGAATGACTAAGGAAGTAAGTGCCAGCCGGGCCCAGTGGCTCAGCCTGTAATCCCGCTCCTTTGGGAGGCTGAGGTGAGTGGATTGCCTGAGCCCGCAGGTTCGAAACCCGCCTGGGCAGGCGAGACCTCATCTCTACAATAAATAAAAAAATTAGCCGGGCATGGTAGTGCATGCCTGTAGTTCCGGCTACTTGGAAGGCTGAGGCGGAGGGATCGCCAGAGCCCAGCAGGTTGAGGCTGCGGTGGCCGGGAACGGCCACTGCTCTCCAGTCTGTGTGACAGAGACTCCAACTAAAAAAAAAAACAACAAAGCAAACAAACAAACAAACAAACAAAAAAGGAAGTAAGTGCCACTCTACAAGGCCTAAGGCATAGCTATTGCAGCTGCCACAACGTTAGGGGTAATATTGAAAAACACCAAAAGGCTGGGCATGGTAGCTCAAGCCTGTAATCCCAGCACTTGGGGAGGCTGTGGTGAGAGGATGGCCTGAGCCCAGGGGTTCAAGACCAGCCTGGGCAGCTTGGTGTGCCTTGTCTCTACAATAAATAAAAAAAAATCAGCCAGGCATGGTGGCACGTGCCTGTAGTTCCAACTACTTGGAAGGCTGAGGTGGAAGGATTGCTTGAGCCCAGTAGGTCGAGGCTGTGGTGGCCGTGAACATGCCACTGCACTCCAGCCTGGGCAACAGAGACTCGGGCTCAAAAAAAAAAGGAAGAGAAAAGAAATTTCAGAATACATATTGCGTAATGATTAGACTGGGAAAAAAATAATCAGAACATTGTTGGCTTTCCTTATTTCACAACTTAGTATGTGGTTTTTTGGGGAGGGGCTAAAGATGGCATGTCACTGTGTCACCCAGGCTGGAGTGCAGTGGTGCCATCATAGCTCACTGCAGCCCCAAACTCCTGGTCTCAAGCAATTATCCCACCTCAGCCTTCCAAGTAGCTGAGACTACGGTGTGCCACAACTCCAGAACAGTTTCTATTCTGAATATCAAATAGTGCTTATAGGCAGGCTCGGTGGCTCAGCCTGTAGTCCCGCGCCTTTACGAGGCTGAGGTGAGTGGATTGCCTAAGCCTGAGGGTTAGAGACCTGCCTGGGCAACTTGGTGAGACCTCATCTCTATAATAGATCAAAATGAGCCGGGTGTGGTAGCACACGCCTATAGTTCCAGCTACTTGGAAGGCTGAGGCGGAAAGATCGCCGGAGCTCAGCAGGTCGAGGCTGCGGTGGCCGGGGGCGGCCACTGCACTCCAGTCTGGGTGACAGAGTGAGACTCCAACTCAAAAAAATAAATAAATAAAATAACAACAACAAAAAAGCAAATAGTGCTTATATCTCTAAAGATCTCAGTCCTTTTTTTAAATTTTAAGCAGGGGGCCAGGCGCAGTGACTGAGGCCTGTAATCCCAGCACTTTGAGAGGCCGAGGTGAGGGGATTGCCTGAGCCCAGGGATTCGAGACTTCGTCTCTACAATAAATCAAAAAATTAGCTGGATGTGGTGGTGCGCACCTGTAGTTCCAGCTACTTGGAAGACTGAGGCAGAAGGATTGCTTGAGCCCAGCAGGTCGAGGCTACGGTGGCTGTTGAGTGGACCACTACACTCCAGCCTGGGCAACAGAGTAAGAATCTGACTGAAAAAAAAAAAAAAAGCCAGGCTCAGTGGCTCAGCCTGTAATCCCGTGCTTTTGGGAGGCTGAGGTGAGTGGATTGCCTGAGCCTGCGGGTTCGAGACCCGCCTGGGCAGCGAGACCTCATCTCTACAATAAATCAAAAAATCAGCCGGGCGTGGTAGCGCATGCCTGTAATTCCAGCTACTCGGAAGGCTGAG